TTTATTTATATTCAGGCTCTATTTCTAACTACGCCCGATATGTTTGTATTTCCAGTATGTTGGAACACGTACAAAGATTTGCTGCGGCGTGTCCTAGTTGAAGACAGTTCTAAAACCGATACTCCTATATCAAAGGATTTAAAACGACAGAGGGAGCGTTATTACGAGATGGTCCGTTCAAGGAATGATATGTTTGATGAAAAAAAATTAAACCCACTTGGAATGGGGAATCCTCAAGAAGCGTTACTTTATATAATGATCAGCGTAAGTGTGTTCTTTGTTTTATATCCAGCATATTAATTTATTTGGTTATTAAATTTCTTTTTAATATTCGCTAGGTTTTAGACAAAGTAAATTGTCATAACAACTATCATAATATTACGGTCGAATATTTTCGTATGAATGGTAATTTCCTAATGATGGAAAGGGAAATTTCAACACATATTTATACACTGTGCTATTGGGCTATAACACCTTTTCGGGAGGGAGATTTTCGAATATATTCTGTATGTACAATACTAGATATATGGAAAAATGGGTCTTCTTCCGAAGAATTATTGGAGCAGCGACAAAGTACCATTCAATCTTCCTTAGTTGAATTTTTGGATGTGTACCCATTTGGAAAAAATGAATTAAATGAGGAAGCAGGTATTTTACTTTTAATGTCTAATTAAAAAAAAAATGTTTCACTATATTATGTACTAGAATAATTTATTATTAAATTCAGAGTTGGAGATAATATCTAGGCTCTTTGGAGAGCTTACAAGAAATGGACATTTTTCGCATCAAAGGTATTTGCAACGTTTAATTGCAAGAGGTGATGTCAGGCCTGAGAAACGTAATACAGAGGTAGGTATTAATAGTATTAAATGGATGAAATTTATATTCATCTGTTTCTAATTAATTAACATTTTTTCAGAGATCTCTCCGTCATTTAAGATATGTAAAATGGTTCGCAATTTATGAACCTGAACTTCACGATTTAAATCAACGATGGCATATTTTGTATGGTGTTAATAGCAAGGTATGTTTGTTATTCGTCGTATTAAGAAATCTAAAATACATGTTATTTATAACTTTTTGTATGCAGGACACAACGGATAAAAAGGAATTTGATACCTTCGTTAATATAATAGCTGAAAAGTTGCCTAATATGTTGTCACCAAAGGGTTTTTATTATATTTAATTATTTTAATTATCGATTTCTTAATTGGTACAATAATATCCTTTTATGACTTTTGATTTTTTTGATGGATTTTTTAATAGCTAATGATCTTGATGCTCCGATGGTTGATGATCCTATATCCGATTTTAAATATTCACTTAATTTTGATAATGAATCCCTTGATTTTATCAAGCATACGACAAAGTTTTGTCAACTACGCGTGATACAAGAATTTATGATTCCGTTAGTAAAACGATTTGTGCAAAATGCTCCGTGAGTATCAATTTTTTGCAAGAAGGTTTATACACATTATATTGATTAAAATAATATTATGTTATTCGGTATCTAGCATCGATGTTCATAACTGGAGGAATCCAACACAGCCCGGATCTTCTTTATTAAATGCACGTCAATTGGCTACGATAATTCAAGTTATTGAATTAACAAAAGATTATAGTTCTTTACTTGAGGTTAATATCGAATTCTGATCATTGTAATTTATATCAATTTATTAACCACTATAATTTATGAATTAAAATTGTATGTAGCTCATAATATGGGTTCTTGAAAATTCTATGGAACGAAGCATCTTCCCATTGATTGTTGATACAATCAAGAGACATGAAAGAATTTGGGAGTCTATGGGAAAATCCGATGTTGTTTTCGATGTGCTAATGAAGAAAGTAATACAAAATGACTTTTATTATATATTATTTTTTCTTTTCTTTTTTTTAAAAAATTCAGATATTTATAATTTAATAATATTGAATTAAATATTATTTATTTATCCTTTAGAATAATCAATTGCGAGAAAAACGTAAAACCGAAATTTGCATTGTTAAATATTTATTAAATATAGTTCATGATGACAAAAAATTAAAGGTATATTTATCATAATAAACATCAATATTTTTTTTTTTTTTTTTTTTTTTTTTTTTTTTAGAAAAAAACTCATTATGATTTTTAAAAAATAAATAGTTTGAACAGGACGAATTTCCGACAATGGTAAATTAATCTATAAATTTACATTGTTATAAAAAAAATTCTATATTAATATATTTAAATAAAATTTTAGTCACCATCATTATTTGAAGCTATTCGTCGTCATAAAAATCGGCTAGGTTTAAAAATTGATCAACTATTGAATCAAACTCATGGGTTTAAAATATCGAATGCTCATCAAATTGATGGAAAGTCGTTTGATTCAGAACATGTTGATGGATATCTGCATCATATACTTGAGGCTTGCGCGGATGTTATCCATCTGCATGCACAAAATGATGCTGATTTGGTTGATGCCCGAAAACTCTTAGACGTTTTTGGAGATTTGTTAAGAGATGTCGGAGATAGGGCAACAAATGGATTTGACACTGTATTCAAAAAATGGTTAAATGATAATATTAGGGATGATGTCGATAGCCTTTTAAGGCAACATAGCACTTATAGGTTCCTGATATTTTTCATAATCCTTGTTGTTCGTAATCTTGTTAAAATGGAAACTGTGCTTGAGCATCTAGTTGAGAAAAATCTTTCTAGGCTTTCAGATAAATTATTGAGCCAAAAACAATTAGACTTAGATGGAATTGTCGAATGTCATAATTTGGTTATTTTATTGAGGTTATTGTTTATGCATCATGAACATAGGGATTCATTAAGAATTCCTTTAACAATAATGGTGAGTCACTAATGATATAATTTTTATTTTCAATATAATATATTAATTATTTAATAACAATGTAGGAAATTCAAAAGCTTCAATCAATTTGTGAGTCATTTATTCACAATAAAGAATTTTTAATTATCATTTCAAGCATCTTCCACAAGCTTGCCATTATTGAAAATTCATTAGAACCTGGCAATGATCTTGTAAATGAATTACGCAACATTAGAATAGATTTTGCTCGGGTTTATTGGTTTAGACAATTATGTATAGCTAATGTTGATAATGTATATAATCATTTTGTCAAAGGTAATAAGAAATTGATTAATAATAAAGAAATTGAAAGACGAATGATTGACATCATACAATCAGGTCTTGGAAACTTTTCTTATGGTAAGAAGTTTTCAATATTATTTTCTTTATGAATGTAATAACATATACACTCATACATTTTATTTTCAATTTTCAGACGGTATAAATGGTCACTCAAGCTCATTATGTTTTGCCAATTTACAAAAGATCTTTTCCACGGTAAATTTGTGGAATATTCAAAAGAGTCGTGTCGAATTTTATATGTGCATGGACAAGATAATGTTATTATCAGATGCTTCAAGCAGTGGATCTCTACGTTCTACAATTCTTCCCTATAACATAAAGGAATCGGATGAGGATTTGATTATGGAAGGAACTGAAGAAGAGATGGATAACATGAAAAGAGTAATTGAATACTTTTGGGAAAACTTAGTGTTGCACGGAAATAAAGATTGCCTTGTAATAAGCCATATAATACGAGGTATCCGGGAGGAAGTAGCTTCAGAGGTTTGTTTTATTTACTATATTCACTGAATGGATTGTAATATTTTACACTTATTTATGATCATTCGAATACTTAGCTTATGGAACGCGGACTTGCAGTATTAGAAAGATGCGATGAGTTGATAGTAAGCATTGAGGAAGTGTTTCGAGCTTTATTACTTTCAATAGGGGACAATAAAAAGCTAGAATTCAGTAAGGCATTATTATCTCAAATACAGAGAATAGACGATGAAAATAAAAGTGATACTTACGTGTCCTGGTGTGTATCATTTTGTTATATGGAAAAAAAGGAAAGATTGATATATTCTAAGTTTTTTTTTATCTATTATAGTGTTATGGCACGTATAAAACTATTTGTTTTGGTGGCAAATGTATTAGCTGCCCGCGTTACTGTAGCTGTCACGTCCAATAAACCCGATGTGGCAAAACAACAACCAGATTATAATCTTATAATGAAATGGATGATTGTATTAATCAAATTACTTTGTGACGAGCGAATTCATCAAAATGGTGGTGGGGCTAACAATTTTGACTTAGTCCTTGATATAGTGTCTTTCTTATTAGACGGTTTGTGTATATTTCGAACTTATTACTTAATACTTAAATTTTTCTAGTGGTTGATGATTTCTTAATATAATTATTTAGAAATGGGAAAAAACGCTAGGGCAATTATTGTTGCAGAATTGAAAGTAGGTCATTTTTTTAAATATATTATTGATATGTAATTAATAATTATTCATTTCATATAAACTCCATTAAATTCATTTTTTTTTTTAAAATAAAACACCAACAGAGGTATCAATTCAACGTACCAGCAATATGGAGTAATAGGATAAAACGTGTACTTCCCTTAAAAATTCCTCAGGAAACGTTAGGTGAAAGAAAGCATCAACTTGATGCTTGGCAGTTAATTGAGGGGATTGGAGAAAATGATGATTTAAATAATTCGTCAATTGATTTATCTTGGTATGATGCTAAAGTTTATCCAAGGCCTAGTAAACGATTAAAGAGGATTGATGAATATGAAGATTATAATATAGATTTAAATAAGAAATATGAAGAAGAAGTAAATGGTTTGGAGACCAGTTTTTCTTCTTATGAATTATAAATTGCAGAGCATAAAAAAAAAAATATTTGTAATTTGTAATTATATAGGATAGGATATTTGTAGATTATAATATTATATTTATTAGACATTTTTCTTAAAATATGGAAGACATACAAAACCGGAGGAGAATATAATAATTTAATAACTTATTTATTAGATGTTAAAAGTAAATTAAAAACATTTGTTATCTACGTTATATTGCAATCAAGTAAATAGAATTTGAATTTTGGTAGTTTATTTTGAGCAATTCACTAGCGATGGGATGTAGCAAATTCAGATTTTGCCTTTTCTCTTAAAATTCTTCTTAAAATTTTACCAGATGCACTTTTTGGTATTTGATCAGTATAAATTATACCGCCTCTTAATTTTTTATGAGGAGCAACTTGATTGTCAACAAATTTTTTAATTTCTTCGGATAAATCGCTAGTTTGTTGGACATTTTGTTGAATTACAACGTAAGCAACTGGGTATTCAGTTTCCTCTTGTTCAGAATATACACCTATTACCGCGGCATCAGATATTAAATGATGTGAAAGTAAAATTGCTTCTAATTCTGCTGGTGCAATTTGAAATCCCTATAAAATTGGATTTATATTTAATTAATATTTTATTTTTTAAGGGTAGGCATTAAAATGAATTCTTATCTTTTTACCTTATATTTAATTAATTCTTTGACTCGATCAACGATATAAAAGTTTCCTATTAATGATAAAATATGAATGAAATAAAATAGAATAAAAAAAATAGATGTATTATATATCAATTATAATAATACAAATTATAATAATTACCATTTTCATCAACTAAACCGACATCTCCCGTGTGGAAAAATCCATCTTTATCAATAACGGCATCAGTTACCTCCTTATTATTTAAATATCCCTTCATGACATTTGGTCCACGAACGCAGACTTCACCTGGCGTATTATATCCTACTTCTATAAAACATTGAAAATATTTGCATAAAAAAGGTCAACCTTTTTTTTTTTTTGGAATTATTTTTTTTACCTTGACCATCTTCAGATATCAATTTACATTCCATATTTGGAACAAGAATACCACAAGAACCATAAACAATATCGGTAGTAAGACCGAGATGAGTTACAGGAGTGGTTTCAGTTAAACCATAACCTTGCTTAATATTAATCTTATGAACGTTATAAAAACTTTCAATTAAATCTTTACTTAATGGGGCTGCGCCACTAATGATTAATTGTAAACTTGATAAATTATATTTCTTTGTTATAGGACTTTTAACTAATAAGAGTACGATTGGAGGTACAATATGAGCTATCGAAACCTTGTAATTTTCGATTACACGACAAAATGATTCAAATTCAAACTTGGAAATAACTACACATGAAGCCCCCTAAAATGCAAAGGGTGTTTAATTTAAATTTACAAAGTTTTGAAAGTAAAACAATAAAATTTAAACTTGATCTTACGAGAACGAGGACAAAATGCATGAGAAGATTCAATCCATAAATATGAAAGAATGGCTGAAGATGGATAAAAAAAAAAATTTGAAATACGTAAATTTCAAAAAAAACAAAAAAAAAAAAAAAAAAATTCCTTCTACACGCACCAGAACACCCATATAAACAATTCCAGGGTGAGCTTCTTGTTCAATAGCCAAAATTTGCGACACATTGGCAACCATATTAAGATGAGTAGTTTCAACACCTTTTTGCTTTCCAGAAGTACCAGAACTATAGCATAAGAAAGCTGTTGTTTCTTTAACTTCTTCAGGTGTATATTCTACGGGAATGGCCTCGCGTTCGCCAAATAAACTATTATAAGGTAAGATTCCATTAACTACTTCATCGCCAAAAAGAAAGATTTTCGATTCGGGAATATTAGCAGCTGCGGCTGCTTTTATAACAGCATGAAGAACGTGTGGGTGGGCTACTATTATGGATGCTCCACAATCTTTTAATTGAGAAGCAAATTCTTCGGCGGTGTACGTTGGATTGGCAGGTGAAACTTTACCACCTACATTATAAACGTTTGATATTAAAAAAGGAGGGGATAGAAAGTGAATTAATTACCGACTTACCAGCAGCAATTGTACCAAAGATTACGGTCGGATAATCAACCTATAAAGTTAAAACTCATTAAAAATAAAAAGATTTTTTTTTTATTTTCAATTGTTTCCGTACCTGATTAGGAGAAAAAATGGATAAAACATCCCCACGTTTAAAACCAACTTTGTCTTGTAATCCACCAGCAAATTTTTTTGCATTTGATTTTAATTCAGCAAAAGTTAATTTTTTGTCAGTTAAACCATCAATAAAAATGGGCTTGTCTTCAGAAACTTTATTTGGATTTGAAAAAACATATTGAAAAATTCCAACCGAGGGGATTTCAATATCTGGAATTTTCGATTTGAATACAACCATGATATATAAATAGTTAGAATAAAGAAAGAGGGAGAATAAATTTTTTTGATAATCTCATTCAAATAAATGTGTCCAACTAATCCCATTCAAAAAATAAAACTCACGTGATGAACGAATTCTCCCCTGCATATAAAACATTAAAAAAATGTTTTGTCGAAATTTTAAAACTTGTGGAATTGGAATCGAAAAATATGCAGCTCGTGATACCAATTCTAGATACAAATAAAAAAAATAAATTCACTCGACTTTTTTTTTTTTTCATTTTCTTTGAAAAAAAAAAAAAAAAAAGAGAATTAAAATGAAGAATTTGATGATTTTTATTGCGTGGTACTTACTTCCATTTTTAATTGAAGTGACAAATTCACAAATTGAATCATTTCGACCAAAAGAACGAATTTATCATACGTCCACATTTATAAATAACAAATTATATATTTTGGGTGGAAACAGCATATCTACAAATGCGACAATAAATGAAATCGTTGGGAAAGAATTTTTTTATCTTGAATTTTCTAAAACGTTTAACACAATTATAATAAATTCATTATGGCAAGATTTAACAAAAATTAACACGGTTCCATCACATTGGGCGGCTGCATCCGCTAAAGGTGGTATAAATAATGATACATTATTTCTATATGGAGGGTTTTCAAATGAAACGTCCTTGATTCATACATACGACTCGCAAAATGATTTATGGAGCATTCCAAACGTCAAAGGTGATTACGTTATCAAAAAAAGGAGTTTAACAGGAATCATCGATTATAATGGAAATATGTATTTGTTTGGTGGGGCTTCAAGTGAATTTGGTATATTAAATGATATGATTATTTTAGACACGATAAATTTAATTTGGAAATCGGGAAGTCTGATAAATGCACCCACCCCAAGATTTTATTATGGTGCAAACTTATTACCAAATCAAAACATCATCTACTTTGGTGGACATAACGGCAAAGAGATCATTGAATTAAACGAGATACATTTATATGATATTGTTAATAACGATTGGAATATAAAAGTAGGTCTTTGATGATCGAACGTTCTTACGATAGCTGAAACATAAAAAATTTTATCATTCCTTTACGTTTGACAGAAAACTTCAGGGTCATCCCCTTCCAAAAGATATTTATTTTCTACCGTACTCGGTATGTGATAATAATTTAAATAGGAGAAAAAATAAATTTGTTCATTTAATCATTATCTTTTTTTTTTTTTTAAAAAAAAAAAAAAAAAATTTAACAGGATTGGATGGAAGAAGGGTAATAATATTTGGAGGTTATAATGTTGTGTCCGCAGACTCACCTTTATGTGTTAGATACCATAAATTTCGAATGGTACATCCCAAACGTTTCTGGTGACATTCCAGCAAATCGATATGATCATAAATCAAATGTAATTGGAAATTTTATGGTCATATCTTTTGGTAAAATAATATTTTACTTTATTTTTTCTCTTCTCTTTTCTTTTGGATTTACTGAATTTTAAATATGACCTTTGATAGGATTTGGGTACGAACAAGGAAAAGAAAGTGACCTATTATTGCTTGATATCAGCAATAATGAGGAATATAAATGGTCAATAATATTTGAACCTTCACCTTCAATTGTTACGCCTACTTCATCTTTACCAACATCAACGCAATCAAATGACTTTTCTTCAACTAATCATAATAGTAGAATAGTTTTGCTCGTTGCAATCCTGGTATCTATGTTAATAATGCTCATTAACAGAAATTTATTAATGGTAATTTAATTTAATTTATTTTAATTTAATTTTCTGCTGCGCATATATCACGTGAATTTCACACCCATGACCGCAGTAAATAAATAACTAATTAAAAATGTTGTGTATTTGTTTATTACAGTCTCAGTAAAATAAAATAAAAAATAAAATAATAATAATAATAATTCCATGATTTTAAATTTCCCTTTCCCCAAATCTTTCGCTTCCTCCCTCCTCTACATTCCCCTTATTTATTCACGACAAGTTTACTGAGGACGGCTAAATAACAATATTGAAATTGTCCAAGGGTTTGAACCATGGTTCTACGTTGTTCCCTGAAAAATTTCACAAGGAGCTCAATTAAATCTGTACTATCATCACTTGCAATTTGTGGTAACATGGCCAAACAACTATCAATAGTACAAAATGTGCCGGTTCTACCGCATCCTGCACTACAATGAATCACGGCAGGTCCAATCTCCACGTCGCTTCCATATTCCTGTTGATATTTTTGTTGAAATTGATTTGTTTTCTTAATTAAATTTAATATGATATCGGGTGAATCTGGTACTCCATGATCGGGCCATCCAACAAAATATAATTGTGTTACCCTTCTAACTTTTTTGTTGTTGTCTTCTGACTGAGATGTAGGACTACCATCACCTCCTTGAGAATTTACCATATCATCACCCCCTTGCGAATTAAATTTTTCTAAACGAAATGTGCGAATTAAACTAGAAAAATTCGGTTCTAATTCCTCACCTTCTATTACAACCTTCAACCCTAATTCTGGAAAGACGAATGGCGAACCATTTGATTCAGGCCAATATTTGGAACATTTAATTTTACCCTTTTCATGCTCTTTAGATAACATCACGATAACATGACTATGTTGTTCCCACATCATGCACCAAAAATCCTCAATAGTATTGTCTAATGGACCTTGTGTTGCTATATATTTACGTATTTTTTGTGGTGCTTCAATGTAACTTGCATTAATGTAATCCGTTTTATTCCCACCTCTCTTACTATGCAATTTAACGCGATTACGATCAAATGGTATAATATCCGAATATCTATTAAGTTTCATTGAAGTTAAACTACTCGCTGTTACTGTACTAAATGGGCTAGATGATTCATTGGAAAGGCGTATCCTTTCCATCTCTGCTTCAGTAATTTGACGAAACTTTGTTGATAATGCCTTTTCCTCTAAATTTTGTGCTTCGGATAAAAATACTGGAATATTTGGTAAATGTTCTTCTGACATTTTCGATATTAATAAGAGGTAATTTCTAAAAAGTGTTGAATTATGAAAAGGAATGATTATCCCGAAAAAAAAAAGGACAAACAATTCGGAATTATTATTATATATATCCGAATAAACATTTGAGTAACAAAACAATTGAGGAATCATGTGATGGGAACGGCAGTGAAACAAACACTCTTACCAAATTCTCCAAGTTGATCTAACTTTACAGTATTTTTAAAAAAAAATTTATTTTTACTTTAACCCCTTCAAGCACTTCTTTGTAACAATTTTTTTTTTTTTATTTAGGAAAATTGTTAAATAGTTTTGTGGTACGACCTGATTAATTCAAATGATTTCTAAAGAATCTAAAACTTAAAACTGAAACGTGACTATGTCGGGAAACTGCGCCATTATTTATTTAAGAATACTGCGCGAACATTTAATAATAATAATATATGTTGTACAAAATTAAATTCATATTTGTATTAGCAAGAAATAGAAATTATTTTATAAATTCCGCAGAAAAATTAAAAAGATATTATTATATTTGCGAAAAAAATAATTGATAATCAATATTAACAAACCGATCTTAGAAATTAACAATCCCTCTTGGTCTCCTTTAATACACTTATCGTTTAAAATCATTATTGATGGCGAAATCACCTACATCGTCATCATCTCCGCGATTCAATTAACTTCTTTCTAATTTCATTATTTCTTCTTTTAATTCCTCAACTAAATTTTTCAATTGAATATTTTCATGACTTTTGGATTCGATCCATTCTAGCTTGGTCTTTGATTCTTGAATTCTTTGCCTACATTTCAAATTTTCATCTTCTAGGCTACTTGCTTTATTTTCCAAATTCAATATGTAGGCCTTTCTGCGTTCTCTGCACTCTTTAGCTGCAATACGATTTCTCTCTTTCCTTTGAGCTCTTTTTTCGTCGTTAATTTTAATGGGAGTGATATTAGATGTTTGAGGTTTATTGTATTTTAAATTAGTTGAAGTAGGTGTAATTGATGGAATCGTATAAGTAATTGTTGTAAATTGAGAATTTCGTAATGATGTTGTTGGATAGGGATGTCGGAATTGTGAAGACGATTGTTGTTGATGATAGATAGTCGAAGAAGAAGAAGAAGAAGAAAGTTCTTGCATTGCATGTTGAATATTATGAGAAGTGATCATGTCGCCATCTACCCCATCATTCGGTTGTTGATATGTTGTATGCTGAATATTATAGGGTGGATTAAAGAATGTAATGGAATTAACGGTGTTGTTATCTAGACGCTGTTGTTGATTTGTCATTTGTGATAATTTTTTTTAAATATTTAGATTTTATCAAGTTTTATTTTCTGACGTTTCTTCTTTCTAATATATGTTTAATATATTATCTTTGACGTTTTATTTACTTTTGACGTCGTTTATATAATATCTTATATATTACATTGATGAAAATGAAAATTGGGAGATTTTTTTTTTTTTTTTGTTAAAAAAAAAAAATGATTTAGAAATAAATACATATACATGTGTATATATATATGTGAAAAAAAAAAATTTATTATTAATATCAATAGTTATTTATTATATATTACGCCACCGAAATCGAAAACTATATAGTTTCACCAAAATATTAAATTATCATTATTAAATGACTAATACCTTTACATCATTTTACATCATCTTTTGACATAATATTATAAACTACGCGCGTTTCTATCTAACGTATATAGGTGATTGAAGTCATGATCAGGAGATTTTGTTAATTACGTCAAAACAAATTATCGAGTCACATGATTATTGTTTTGTGTAGAAAATGAAAGGGACTTCATTTCCAAAAGTTTTTGGAAATCGCGGGTGACATCACTATTCAGAAATCATGGAACGGTGAGAAAATATATATTTTTTTTTACTTTTCGATATATTTGTCAATCACCCAAATTTAGCATTGTTTTTATTTATTGTATTATCGGAACTACAGAACTAAGCTTAAATATCTTTTGTCATTACTATTGTTTGATATACAGTAAAATATTAAAACGACACTATAACACTAAGTTATATTCTCTTAATAAGTTTATATAATCACATAATCAGCTTTTTATATTTATTAGAAATATAATTTCAAATAAAAATACATATAATACAAATTTACATCATAATTTGCAATTCCACCTTCCTTTACAAGGTAATAATCAATATATTGAATGATTATTTAATATTATTAGATTTAGAATAAAAGTTATTGAATAAGATAGTTAAATACTAAATAGAATTTTATTATAAGAAAACTACCAAAAAATTTTTTAGTTAATGTGAAATCTGGATTTATTTTACTAAAAAAAAATAATATTCAGCTTATAAAGTAAAAAAAAATTTTTTTGGTAGTTTCTTTCCTTTCTACTGCAAAGTACCCATATGTCCTAACTTATCTTACATTATATCCTAAATGTCTTACGTATGTCCTATCTATATTCCATCAATATTTTATCAATTTATTATGATAATACTGCTAAAATTTATTAAAATTTTATTAATAATACAGCTAAGATTTAAAGATAATTTTTATAAAAAAATATATTTAAATTTAAAAATAGCTTTACCTTTATTAACAAAATCTTTATCTTATCACTTATAAAATCTCTATATTAGGCAAATTAAAGAATAAAAGTATTCTTATTATAATCAAATATTTTTTAAGTAGATATAGATATTTTAAATTTTATTACTAATTAATTAATATAATTTTCACAATTTGATAAACCTAAATAGACAAAATAAATGCTGATATTACTACTTTTTACAGATTTACTATAGATAATATCATTAAAAAGATATAATTAAGTTATGTTAAAAATATTGATAAAATCACAGATTAAATCAAATCATTCAAATTAAATATATCTTTATAAATAAAAATATAGATTTTATAAATTTTAAAGAAACATTATACAAAATCAATATTTAATAAATATAAAATATTATTTCTTTTTAGAATTAACTTAAATTTTAAAACTCTTATGCATAAGATATTCTGATTATTTTTAAAAAAAAAGTGACAATTTTATTATAAAAACTTTTACATCAAATATCAGATTTTTATATATTAATTTATACAGTCAAGTTTCTATATAATCACATTCTTCAATACTAAAATATTTAAGGTATTTATCAAAAAATTATATAATATGATTATAAAAGAATTTTAATAAGTTTATTATTAACTTTTATCTAATAAAATGTATTTATAGAATAATATGACTATATAGAAGATAACTATTTAAAGGTTAATTATACTTAAAAAAAAATACAAATTAGAATTATTATTTATAATATATATATCAATTAATAAAATCCAACTATTTTTTATAAAAGATATCCAAATTCTTTTATTTTTAAATAATAATATTAAATAAAATTATTAATAGAAAATCTAAATATTATAGATAATTATTATAATTAACTTAAATTAAATAAAAAAAAATAGAGTAGTATTTAGTAGTTTTATCTAAATATCTATTTATTCGTGATTAGATATTTGTGAACTTCATTATATATATGGATTATTATCCATAAAAAATTAAGTGAATCCAAATAAATTTACATTTAGATTATATATAAATCAAATTTTATTTATATAGATATATCACGATAATAACATAATATAAGAAATAAAAATGAATGAAATTTTCCTTTATTATTATTTATTAAAGTATTAATTATGCGAAAAAAATATTTGTATTACTAAATTTATTTTAAGTTATATTTACTTAATAGAAAAATCTTTTTAATTAAATGCTAATTCTTTTTATAAAAAACTAAATTTTCCAATAAATTTAATGCTAACTGTATTTTTTTTATTATTATTACATTACTAATTTTACTAAAAATCTTTCACTTGAAATTAAAGTAGCAAAACTTGCTAAGTATTTTTTTACTAATTTTGATAATACTGAAAATTAAGTTGAATTATTTTTCATTATAATCATAGATAATTATCAAGATATATTTTAGGTAAAATCAAATAATTAGTTACATTATTCATACAACTATAATTATCTTAAAATATTCTTACTAATAATGAATTTGATGAAATAGACCTAAATTCAGCTTCTTAATCTTCTTCAGTTAGGTTTTTCATATTTTGATAAGTATCTTTTAATTGCTTATGAGTTTTAATACATAATAATTTAAATGCAAATACTAATTTTTTAAATTATAGATCTAATATTATAACCAATATTTCTTCCTTATATGGAACTTTCCAATAATAATTAATAGATTGATATAATACTACTTTAATATAATTTTTAAGATTAACATAATCTTGTAGAGTATTAATACAGATTTTCTTACTTTTAGGTTGATTAGTAATAGACTCATCTTTAAGTATATCATCATAATTAATATTATCATCAAAGGTTGTATTTAAATCTGTTAAATCTATAACCTTTATATCAGAATTATTAGACATTACCTTTTTACTAATTATTGCTAATATATTACATCAAGCTAATTATTGTATATTTATTTTACCTAGATATTCAGTTACTTTGGTAAAATTCTGTAAAATAATAATTAGTTTATCCAATATTTTTTATTCATTTTTTATAAGGTTTATTTATTTTTATCATTTTTAACTCGTCATATTGTAAGATCAGAATCAATTATTATAGTAGATACTATTATACTAATAAGACCTTTAATTTTTATTAAACGTTTTTATGTAAGATAATTTAAGTTCTAATACATTTTATATCAATTATCATATAAAAGTATTTATTGTTATCCTCTAAATTTTATAAATATTAATGATCTTACTTTTATTATTAAATTTTTTATTATTTTATGATATATATAATTAACCATTATTAATTACATATTATTTCTCATATATTTTTAATAAATAATTTATATTAATTTAAATAAATTTAAAATTTAAATTTAAAGAAAATTTAATACTTCAATATTAGTATGGTAAGTACTTTGAATTTCTATTAGTTTTTTAGTCTGTTTCAGTGTTATAAAAAATTTAATTTATTTTTTTGTTTATGTAATCAGAATTTTAGCTGGTAATAATCCTTTTCCCATAATTAATTGTAAAGTATGTGTAATATAAAAGAGTATTACAAGTTTATTCATTAATTTTTTAGCTCAAATTATATTAAAGCTATTGTTATAATCAATTCTTTAAAATGCTTATAAATGATAAACAAAGCAATATTTTTAGATAGTAAGTAGAAGATTTGTTTTATAATTAATTTTAGAAAAATATCAATCAATTGATAGTTTATTTAATAATAATAATAAATGAGTACTGTTTCAGTTAGCATTTTATACTATATAGGTATATAAGAGAAATTAAAGTAAAACTATCTAAAGAAATATGAATTAGACCTACTGCTAAGCTAAAAGAAAATGCCTTCTATTTATATAAAATAAAATTCAAAGAAATAAATATAATATCCCTTCAAGCGTTTTGCAGGCAAATTTGCCTGCAATTTTTATTTAATAATTAAAATTATTTATAATAATTTTAAATATTTTTAAAATAATTTATTTA